AAAAAAAAAAAAAACAGGAGCCACAGGTTTCCACAGACCTGATCATAGATGGTGAGAAGCCAGTCCCCCCCTGCAAAGAAATTGAGCTCTGATTAGCATGCTGTGGAGAAGGTCTGGGCACCAGGACCCTCGATGGAGAGGTGGGAGATCTGGTGTCTAATTCAGCTCTTTCCTGCGTTTGCTGAGGGACTTTGGGCAAGATACTCGCCCCGCTGAGCCTGAGGGTGCTGACAGCTGGCCTGCCTCTCTGTGAACATCAAATAAGACAGTGAACAAGAAAGGACTTGTAGAGGAAAGTTCCAGCACTCCACACAGTTCCCTGCAGTTGCCCTGGGGCCAGGAGCGAGCCTGGAAGGTGAGAGAATCACATGTGAACGCCTTACCCTTCAGAGCAGAACCTCTCGGACCAGACTGTGCAAGTGCTTCCCCTGTGGAGTCTATAAAAATTAAGAGGGTTTATACATTCGTCCTGCTTAAAACATTTACAGTAAGAAAGCATTCACGTATGACTTGAGTATACCAATTTTAGCTATCATTATTATTCATTACTTGTGGCGAATATATGCCGGGCGCAGTGACTCACTCACACCTGTAATCCCAGTACTTTGAGAGATGGAGGCGAGAGGATTGCCTGAGCTCAGGGGTTCGAGACTAGCCTGAGCAACATGGTGAAACGTCATCTCTACAATAAATCAAAAAATTAGCCAGGCGTGGTGGTGCACACCTGTGGTTCCAGCTACTGGAAGGCTGAAGTGGAAGGATCACCTGAGTTCAGCAGGTCGAGGCTGTGGTGGCCGGGAGTGTACCACTGCACTCCAACCTGAGTGACAGAGTGAGACTCTGACTCAAAAACAAACAAACAAAAACTTGTGGAGAATATCAATAAATTTGGTATCAAGTGCAGTGAGTAGCGAAGGCACAGAGCTGGGTGGGGATCCAGCTCCACCCCCTGGCAGCTGTGTGAACAGGGCAACTTACTCAGCCTATTTCCTCCTCTGTAAAAAAGGACCACAGTGCCGCCTACCTCCTGGGGCCCTTTAAAGATTAAAGTGAGAAAATAAATAGTAGGAACACAGTACATGGGAAGCAGCAGTTACTTCACATTTGGTTCCCGAGGGGTCCTGCTAGCCCCCCTCTCACTATAGAGGGAGACAGGATGAAGGTGGGAGTGGCCACATCCTGCCCTGGTCAGTCCCAGTGTCCCCTCAACTGCTG